TCTACTACGTTTCCCATAAACATGTAATTGGCAAAACAAATTAACATAATTTGTCTGAGAACATTTTTTGTGTTTCCTTTCTTTGAGGAGAAGTCAGATTGGAAAACCTCTTTTTGAGAATGACAGTAAACCTGCTTCACTCAGGAAGGGCAGCAAAGACTTCACTGTGTGCAGATGGACAGAGGAGACACTCTGTGATTAATATTTCAACACAGGCTGGAAGGAATAAAAAACACCCTGCAATTGTCCAGATTAGTCATTTTATTATTGATAGATGATAAAGTCAGCCACACACACAGTTACAGGTGCATATTTAAATCGACCGATAACCAGATTTGAATTCGATTTGGTATATTATTGTTAGGCTGCTCTAGTGGCTGTAGTAATTATGACAGGAGCAAAGGAGGAAGTCACATAAAAGAGCGATAAAGTCCATGTTAGGAGGAGGTTGGGGTGGACTCCACACTGCTGCATGTTGAACCATCGTGTTTCTACACTCACCCAGAACGGAAAAACAAAAAACTGACTCCAGATAAGGCCAGATTTTAGCGACCAACGTAGTTTCTCTCCCTGTTCGGATCTTTAAGTTACGTAACTAACATATTTATTTAAAACCAAACCATGATCTTTTCATAAACCTAACCAAACTGCGACCGTTTCACAATGTTAACCACGTAATGATGAGGTCCAGTACACCAGTCGCTGGTGCCCTGCGTATACTGTATATAATTTTTGGTAAACAGGTTTAAGACCCTGACCATGATGTGATTGCAACTTTCCCAATTCATGTCTGGCAGTGGACCTTTGTGCATTTCATTCCCTTTTTCTTTCTCTGAAAGGCAAGAAATGCCCCAAAAATACTTGTCTTGTCTTGTAAAGTTAATGTTTCTTTTAACCATAGAGACAATCCAAACATACATCCAAACCTTTGACTTCCTTAATCTTAGCCATAGTGTGTCTTTGTCCTACTAATGGAGGATCATTTCCTAATTTATACTATAAAAACCTGGCTCCTTTGCTGTTTTCCCTGAACAAATGAGATTATTTCTGCCTCCTGTTTACATAACTGAAGCTCCAATCTGCTGCCAGTTTGTCATGTTGTGAGTGTTTGTCTAGACATGGCTTACCCAGAATGCTCTCTGTTATTAATTGCTCTGAGAGATGTTTCGAAATGCACTCAGTTGCTTACTTTCCTTTAGTTTGCTTGTGTTTGTTCATGCTGTGCCAGCGAGAATGAGATTTTATGTCTCACTGGTCAGGGTTTCATCAATCATTCATCAGCTCTGTATTTTGTAACAGACGCCATAAACACAACATCATGGCAGAGAGATAATCAGAGAGAAGGAGAGAGAGAACGACAGGGAGAGAGAATCATTTCTCTCAGTTTTAGCAAATTTTTGTTCTTTCACAGGCACCATATCATTTGCGCTGGAATCTGCAAATTAGACTTCAGAGTATCTTTGACTCCTCTGAAGGGTAAACAGACTTGTACTGTGGCTGGGGAAGAATGGCTGGAGGCAATACGACGGAGGCTGAACAAACAAAAGAAACAGCAGAGAAATAAAAAACATCTTCTGAGTGATTGCTCATAAACAGGAGCTTTTATAAAACTGCTGAGGAAACACTTTCATAAGACTGGCTACTGTTCTTTTATAGTCTTTGTGTTTCGCTGTGTCTCTCTCATCATATATTTTGGTTGGAAAGGCAGTGATGGCATTTGCAGAATGTCCTGCAGGCGGTGAGCATCAGGAAGCCCATGTAGCTAAAGACAAAAGGCAGGTCAATAAATATCACAGAGAATCGCAAGAATGATATCTGAAATTAAATTGAAGATATTTTTTTTACAAGTGTGCTACTTCAGGTTTTTGCTTCTTGCAAGTGAGGTAGAATGGCCTGTCTGACTGCTTCTCCAATCTCATTCAGATGTATTATAAAGGCATCAGTATGCTTCCATAAAAGTGCTGAGATGGTAGAACAGTACCAGAAACCATTCATCAGAAATATTAGGGGGGCTGCGTCTGTCCAAAACCAACATTTGAACAAGCACCCACACTTTATGCAGTGATTGGCCTAATGTGCGAAGTTAAGCAGCGATATTTGAATAATTAGGATTCTCATTATGACAGGCTTCTCAGCCTGCCTTTGCGTTTATTGTTTGGAACAACTAAAAGCACCTTCGGATGTGGTGTTGTGGATCACACATTGTACAAACTAGTTTGGTTTTAGAATAGCCCAACCTTAAGTCAAAACCTCAATCTAAGTTCTGCTGAAATTTGTCAATTTAAAATGGTATCAGTGCACATAACAGGAAGTATGCAGAGATATGCGCTTAAAATAGCATTAACTTCAGACGGACAGGTTGTCAAGCTAACAGTTTAGGCACATTGGCTGATAGTTAGCTCAGTTAGCTGTGCAGCTAGCAATCCTATTAGCTGACTCTGCAATAACTGGGAGTTCAGAGTAACATCAGGGGAGTGTTTGTGCTAGCACAAGAACTTCAGACTACTGGGAGTCGGAAGTTTTCAGGCACTGAGCAGGGAGGACCAAGTGGGGAATAGGCACCAGAACCAGAGTCAGGCACATGGGCAGTGAAACCGGGCTCAGCAGCCTCCCAGTGAACACAGCCTCAGAGACTGATAAAGACCAGTTTGACAACAGGGAATAGAGTACTGAGGTGATTTACCGACCAGGACTAGAGAATGTGTGCTGAGAAGCAAGGGAACCTTCAATTCAGAGATCTGTGGAGTTTGTGTGACGTTCCTTGCTTACAGGCGAGAACAGAGCGTGTCAGGACTACATCCTCTCCTGATAACCATAGGGCACTATATCAGGACACAGCCTCCAAAGTTTTGATAAACCATAGTTCAAAGCCTAAGTATAGTATAGTCTAGTAAATCTAATCTATGTTTTCTTAACATCATCAAATTCCACAAAAAAACCAAAACCAACAATTGATTCTACTAATAAGTATCGTCTCCAGTTTTGTCCGAAAACTATTAAAAAACATCTATGTCCCGCACTGCCACCGTTTTTAAAGATCTAATTTTTTTTAGCAGGAATTAATTGTTTTGGAGCTGTGTTGCCACAAGAAGGCTGGTGGGGTGGTCAGAAAGCATTGAGAGATGGGCAAAATTATGGTTGGTTTTTTGTCTTTTCGTGGGGTTTGTTGACAATAACAAATATATGTCGCCAGCCTTCAAGCAACTGCTTGCAACAGTATTCCAGTTATTCTCAGTCAAGAAAGATGAACTCAGAATAACATCATTATAAATTAATCAAGATATAATCACAAGCATGACGTATAATTATAATTTATTCTAATATGAACCTTTATGTTATCATTATCTAATTTCTCAAGAACAAGATGTGGAAGTCTTTCAGATTTCTTTTTTGTTGTTGTTTCAGGGTGTGATATAAAATTGAGTTGGATTTCCTTCTCTGATCTTTCACCCAATAGGTAGCCCTAAGGCTTGCTAATTGCTTCCACTTTCCACTTCACCAAATTCCCTGCAGTGTGTATCCACCATTTGATATAGAACATAAGAAGGAGTACCTAAATTGCTCTATTGTATCATTGAGATATTTGATCTCAAGTAGTAAGTTCTGGGATGTCCTGCTGTGCTTTTTGGATTTGCTCTCCACAGAACCTGCTCTCAGTACATTTTCAAACATATCTTATTATACATTTCTGATTGCCTCCAGTCTCTGAGGCCTGCACCCTGTAGGGCATGTCTGAGGGTGTCTGGGACCAAATGGTTGACCACAGCAGAGTCCTGCCAAGCCATTGTAATGTTAAAACAACCACTGCATTCCTTGCACTGCAGTACAAGCACTGAGCCAGGCTTGGAAAGTTACCGACATGGGGCCCATCGTTTCCCAAAAGCTTCTTGGAGCTCAGATAATAGCTGCTCTGCTGTAAAACTAATAGATAAAGATTATCCTTGAGTGAAAAAGACTTTGTGAAGCCATAGTTTTGAATTGGTGCAGAAACAGTACAGTATAATAATGCTTGAAAGCACCAGATTGAGATATAAAACACAGCTTTGACACTTGGGTGTGATTCTGCACTGATTTTGCCAAAAATCTCCATGCATTCGAGGAATGAGCACACACATCCAAATTGCTAGGGTTTTATTGTCCACCGAGCCTGTGTGCCAAAACTGGGAAGCCATAAACCAACAAGTCTTAGAATAATCATCACCTTACAGCTGTCCTCTGATTCTTGTCCAAGCCAGGACTCTGGCCCCAGAAAAAAAAAGTTTTGTTCTACTTTCAGGGTCAGACGTTAACAGGGGTCACTCACATGGAGCAAAACTGTCCTTCAAAGTTAATAAAATGTGTTGGGGATATGCGGTATATTAGGAGGGGAAATGATGATGAGAAACCGCCATTTCAGCTTATTCACATTTTAGTTTTTCAAGTAAAAGTGGCAGTATTTCACATCATCGCAATGTCACTTTCCTTTCACTCCCCTGCTGTCTTTTGCACAGATGAATAGGCTTTGTCACTAAATAATGAAACTACATCATTAAACTGTTTTGTTGTTTTGTTTTTTATGACACATTCATTAGGGGCCAAAGTCAAACTGTCTGTACTACTGTAATAAGTAACTTTGATTACACTAATTGTATGTTCAGTTGGCCAACTCATATGGAATAAATTGTGAATGTGGAATACACACAGCACATATATTTGGTCTCTAGGGTATGAATCTGTCACTCCCCACAAGAAAAATCCAAGCTGAGTACAGCAGGAAGTAATATTAACTTTCCCCTTTTGGGAAAAATGGGTCCTTTCATTACGCTAATGTGTCACCTCGCTCCCTGAGATAGAGGCGAGGATGAGATATATCATCTGTACATCACTATACACAATACTTCAAAGTAAGTACTGCAAGAATAAACTTTGAAAATAAAGACAGATTGAGGTAGGTAGTCAGTCATGCCATATGTGCATGATTGACTTCCGCGTAGGATATACCTGTGTTTCCTTGCTCTAAGCTACTCCAGAGGCCTCCTCACTCCTCGTCTCCTCGGGGTACATTCAAAGGATTGCAAGATCCTCCACGATGGAGGAAGGGCACTAATGGGTGTCCACACTATCTGGGTGGGAGAAGAGAAAGGGAGCAAGGAAACATAAGTTAGTGTAATGAAAAGCACCCATAGACTAGAGGATAGAAGAGTCTACAAGTGGATGGCAGGATGGACGTAGGGCTTTTGAAATGCTTTACATAACAGCAGCAGCAGTGTCAGCATAGTTTTCAGGTGAGCAGAGCCCTGACAGATTTATGAGAAGGGTGCATTGCATATATGTTGCTATGAGAAGACAATGACTGCAGCAGCAAGGTGCCTGCCTGTAAAAACTTGCAGCTGTCTCCTCATCAATATCTTTGCACCCACAAGTAAATATTTTAGTAACAGCTTATGTAGATCAAGTTAAAGAAACAGCTATTTGTACATTAATAGTCTTCCCAAATGATGAAGCATAAACCATGTTACTCCAATCAGTAATCTGTGATGACAAAATTATTCTTTTAGATATTTCATTATAGGACCGTGGCAACCAGGTGTGGTTAATGTAAACAAACTATTATTGCTTCAAGCTAATAATCCACAATCTCCCAATGACTAACCCTACCTTTAACTTTGGATATTCCATATGTATGCACTAATCTTGGGGAAACTGTGTTTTTGTAAAACGCAACTTTTAAAGCTATAATATGCTAATAATTACATTTCCATATTAAGGAGGAGAGGAGACCTGTGGAGATAACTAGGCTCCTGTTAGAAACTTCCTGAACAATGAACACTGAAGGAATCCTAAACGGGAGAAGCTGACTGCAATGACACAACATTAAACTTTGTCTTTTGTTATTGTTTTGATGTAAGACACCCCCTAGTGGCAGACATTACATATTCTACATTTAAATTAATAATAATATCTTTAAATAAAGGAGAAAGGAGAATAAGGCCAGTTGTTTTCCTATTATGTTGAGCCCTCTTTAATTCTCACTGAGCAAACCAACTGAATTTCTCTTTGATAGCATCAGTTTCCATTACACTAAATCTTTTTTTTTTTGGTAATATTATTTCAATTAAATCTTAAATGTGCAAATTGTGTGTTTACAAAAATGCAACGTAAGTTTTAAGGAAAGAAAAGCTGATAATAAATGCTGTACGTGCCTTTCATCAAGGCCTCTGTGAGCCAATCGTCTTGTTGCTATCAGACTTTAAAACTGTCCCCCTCTCTGCTGCTGTCAGCTGTCATCCCAATGTCAGATCGATGCAACCCTCCTCCACCCCATTCACACATCCATCCACATCTTCAGCCATCGCTCTTCAACCCTTCACCGCCACCACCTAGGACGCATTTAAAATGATGATGTCACGATGGGGTCTAATCACTGAAGACTCGTATTTCTTTAACTTTCCTATTATGCACTATGTCAAATAAATAATTTAATTACTCTCTAAGCCTCTTAAGTCCTGATTGAACTTATATTTGGGCTGCTAGAAGGCCCAAAAAAACACTTTGCCAGTGTGTCATTTTTACGCACACTGGCAAAAGAAAAACCTTGTGCTGGCTGAATAAACTGTGTGTGCGTGTGTGTTCCCCATCATACAAGTTCCTCATTAACCTGAGATTTGAACCTGTGACCTCCTCAGTCACATTTCCAGTCCGCTCTGCCAACCTTCTCAGCTCAGTGCCCAGTTGACTAACAAACTCGAGTGGATTTATTATTACTGCTGTTGGCTGCGGCTCTGCACCACGCAGGACCTGGAAACTAAATATGTGAACCTGATGCTGTTTTACGTATGTAGCAGCATTTATAAGCCACCGGTGGAGCTTTTACTGTGGCTTTTCTATTCTGTTTTGACTCACATGTTCTGCAGTGGGTGATTTATTTTCCTGCAGTAAAAAGGTCTTTGTCAGGCCAGTGTGAATGTGCTCTGCAATGTACATTTTTATCTCCATATACAAACATACTAACACTCATAATCACATGCATTTGATTTGCATACAGCATGATCTGTAAACACATGATTTGAATGAATTGCTTTTGGATTTTAGATAGTGCCAATCTTATGCCTGTAATTGGGTTTAATTTCCTGCATGTTGTCCAAATCAGATACTGCAACTTTGACATTACACACACAGTCAGAAACCTGGCAAACACACACTGGGACTTTGTGTCAGCTGTAAGCCTGGTACAAATCCCACTTCAGATATCAGTTTGGGGCTCCTGGTGCCTCAAACAGTTCATCTTTGAGGCACAAAAAAAGAGGTGGATGCCTGTGTCTATCCTTAATTAACAGGCACACAGTCCGCCCTTTTTCACTCTATCATTTCCCCTTCTCTCCCGCAGCTATTATCTTCCCATCTATCTGTCATGTCAGCTGAGCCCTTTGGACCGGCCACACACTCGGTCCATTCACCAGATCAAATTGAATCTTTTTCGTGTAATTGCCGCAGCACTGTGTACTGCCAAGTGTTTGTTTGGATTGGAGGGGCTTTTGGTGCGTTCGCTGTAGCAGATCTCATGCAATCATATCGTGCCTCCTACTCCCAGCCGGACTTGCTCCAGAGAGGTCCAATCCCTGACCCACTCAGGACCTACCTACTAAATGAATAACAAAAATTACTTCAGTTCTACAATCCAAAAAAAAAAAAACGTGTCCTTGATGTTAAAGAGACTTCATAACGTATTTCTTTCATCAGTAAGCACACTTACAAAAGTCGTATTAATATTCACATCAAGGGGGTTGGTCAAGATGAATATACTGGAGCTGAGTGTTAATGGAGGCTTTGGTTGAAATGACCGGTTGTTTCCTTTAAGGGTTTGGCTTTTGGGCGAAATTAGTCTGATTAAAAAGAGCAGGGAGCCGCCATACTGCCTCTCCTCCCTGCCTGCCTTCAAGCAAAGCTTTGAGAGCTTTGTCTCAACCATCAATCTGGGTCCATTAGCTCCTCCAACCAGCAGACAGACTCTTATTTAACTGGATGTCCATTTTAAAAAGGGTCTAGAGTAAGGGCTCCAAAAACGTTTCACAGCCCAGAGCCTGGATGAAAAATAGTCCAGTTTCTTGCACACAGACTCAGATATTTCAGTACTCTTTCCCCCGTTAGGCCTTCAGCATTAACAGGCCTGTGGCCAATCTTGCATTCTGGGCATCAGTAACAAGCAGTCAGACACAAAACCTGGACTTGAGCTGCTGTCACTTAAGTGAAACACTGGCTGCATCTGAACGATTTCACTCATACTCTCTTACACTCATGGGTAACTTCTGTGTCACAATAAAACTCATATCTGACACTGAAGAGTTCGTGCGCAATGCATGATGGTAACTGACACTGTTACCGATGGTAACTACTACCGACGATGCTATCCTGTGGTCACATCACATGGGATGGCATTACAAGTCTCATACTGTTCATTACTGTAACTCTTTTACAGAAGAAACTTTGACAAGCCACATTTGGAAACCCACAGCTGTAGATCACAAAATGAATGATGGCTGAATTCCAGTTCGCTTCTTCAGTTTCAGGGTCCTGGCTCACTGTCGAACTGTCATGACACTTGAATAGGGCTTTTTTTCATTATTAGTAACACCTGCGCTTTTCCTGCAATGCATCCTATTAGATGGTCAGAAGTGATGTCACACATGAGTGGATGGGTCTGACTACTAATTAGCCACTGATGAGATGCCAGGAGAGCACTAGTGAAGATTCTGAATTGTACCATGCTGAGTCGACTTAGAAAAGGTGAATTGTTTGATTTGTTGTTGGGAAACAGTTACTTGATTTCTGTTAAATCTTTCGTATCAAGTCAAACTAATGCTGAACTTTGAGGGAACGGTTCAAATCAGAGAAACTTATTGTAACTCATTGACTCAGTTGCCCCATCCACTATTCTCTCCTCATTCAGACTGCAGGCCAAAGTGACCCAAATCTGATCTCATATGTGCCTCAGATCAGATTTTTACATGTTTTTACTGACGTGTACAGCACAAATCACATGGAATCTGATCTTTCCAATTCTTATTTGGGCCACTTTCATATGTCCAAACCAGATACAGCTCAGACTTTTTGTGACCTCAGTGTGAACAGTCACAATTCAGTCACAGTCAGAATTCTGGTTATAATATGTCACTTTAAGTTGACGTTCGTCATGCGGTTACTTGAAGACTGTGACCTGTTTGGAATCTAATATGGGCCACATTTAACGAATAACAGCCAAACCAAAAAAATCTGACCTAACCAATAATTCAGAATTGAGCACCAAGGCTTGCAGTGTGAACACAGCCTATGTTATGAGGCGTCTAGCACTAACTATTTTACACTTCCAATGAAAAAGCAAAGCCTCTCCCACCGGTGACCTTTGGATTAAACTACGTGAATGTATATAAAATAATTAAAAGTAGCTCCACCTTGAACAGCCAGAACAGTAAAATGCTGCTTACACATTGATGCATCACTATTAACGTTCTAATACTGTATTATGAAATAATATATCAGTCAAGTTGTTTTATTTTTGATATAGTAGCCTACATGTAGCTGATAATAAGGACTTTGAATGCAGGACTTTTACTTGTAGTGAGTGGGATTGTTGTATTGATACTTTTACTTGAGTAAAATATGGAAGTACTTCTTCCACCCTTTACCAACTGAATCTCCAACAGTACGATCAGGACCTTTAGATTCTTTCACTTTGTTATCGTGTCCCAGGAGTCAATATTGTCCACCAATCCTGTAGTCTAAATCTATATAGTGCCATTGACTCCCTAACAGTTGTGGATTCTCACCTCTGACCCTTTCAATATTACTTCAGCATTGTTGCAATGAATCAACCCTTCCTAAGTCCCACCCCTTCTTCCTGTCCTGTACTAGCGTATGTGCTAGGCTTTTCTATGTTGACTACCAAATTTAGCAGATGTTTAAAAGACAAAAGCAACATATCACATTTTAAGTGAGCTAGCTAATGTTAGCAAAACGAGCTAACTAGCTAGCGAATTTACATTAATCATTTTGCAAACATTAGCAAAATGTTTGCAAACTTAAGATGTCACTATTTTGCTTTTGTCTTTTAAACATCTGCTAAATT